GAACGACATAGTGGCTGCAGGTGCTAGATACAGGGGTGGCCATCCTGTGGCTCTGGAGCCATGTGCAGCTCTTCAGAAGTTAATATTCATCTCCTTGAATCTTTGAACAAGCACACAGTAACGAGCTTCCATTTGGCTCCCTCATGTGGCTCTGAAGCCACAGGTTGGCCACCCTTGTGCAGCTAGAAGTTTTCTGCTGGACATATGACTTCCTGGAAAGAGCAGAAGTTGATAATGCCTGACAATTAAGCCTATGGATGTGGGGCAGATAGACTCAGGTAGGACTGGGACTCTCAGATGAAGCATGTCTCTAAACTAAGGGTGTACCTACACATGCACCCCACTGTACAGCTGATACTGTGCAGTCATTAAGTACTTGCTTTAGCAGCTTTGTATTGGTGGGTGGCTGCTCAGTCATTTAGTACTTGCTAAAGAAGATGTAACAGGCTGAAGATGAAATGTATACATGGCATGTCGGTGGTCTATTCAGTCCCAGACACCGTCTTGCATAATGCTTGGGGTGCATTCCAGCTTGATTTCCCAACAGAGCTGCAAACCTTTCCATGCAGACTTTTATGCATCCCCTTCTGCCAGGGATCAGATTTATTCTTAGGCACCTCAACAGAAACACAAGGCAGGCCTTCATCCAGACTTCTTAGGGCGCTTCTACATGAGATACTATATTGCTGTAGTGATGAACTGCTCATTGCTATGGCAAGGCAGCATCAGCAGGCATGTACCGCGATGCCACTGCTAATGTGTATTAGGGTCAGAAATGACCCATGCACTTCTGGGACTGCTCAGTACTGGTAGGTACTGCGCAGTCCGTTAGTATTAAAAGCTAACTGCAAAATCAAGTACTAAATAACTGTGCAGTACCCACCGGGACTGCACAGTCCCAGCGGCTCATGGGTTGTTTCTGACCCTACTACACAGCATCACAGTTAATGCCCACCGATGCTATAGCATTGTAGCGATGAGTAGCTCATCACTACAGTGACGTAGCCTCTCGTGTAGATGGACCCTAAGAAGCCTGGATGAAGGCTTGCCTTGTGTTTCTGTTGAGCTGCCTAAGAATAAAGACGATCCCTGGCAGAACAGGATGCATAAAAGTCTGTCTGGGAAAGGTTTGCAGCTCTTCTGGGAAATCAAGGTAGAATGCACCTCAAGCATCATGCAACACGGTGTCTGGGGATGTATGAAATGCCTTGTATAAATTTCATTTTCAACCTGTTACGTTTTCTTTCTGTTCCTGTTACTCCCATTGAAAGGCTGCTCCAGAACCTGACTGCTTTAATGGTTAGGAACCTCCTTTTAACTTCAAACCTCAGTTTATTCACTAATATTTTATATCCTTTTCTCTTTTACCACCATTAAACCCTCCTAAAATAAAATATCAAAACACTAACATTTATCTTGTTTGTTCCCCCCCCCTTTTTGATTGTTGATCAGGACAAGACCAAACTGTGGCATCTGGGAACCTGGTGAGGAGTGTCTTACTCTGTAAGTAGGCTACTGGCAAAGCAGGCACCAATCATGATATGTCTGGGTGGCAAAGCCTGACCCTGCACTAAAAAGGCAGAAATAACAGTTAACAGCTCTTAAAAACAATTGAGACGTAATTAATAGAGCTTCTGTTTAACTTGCACTTTATTACAACAAAGTCTGTGGCCTCTAAACAATTGTTATCTATCAAATACATCCACACAGAAGCAACACAATGAACATTAGTCTTGAGTAACATGTAAATCTGGACTTCATTTGCATAACAATGCAATCTAGCCCACCCCATGCTAACAAGTGACATCCCAATGGCAATATGTAAACTGTGACCAATGAAGGGGGACAGAATGGCTCAGCAAGGACCCAACAACACACAACATCAAGATGAACAAAAAAAAAAAAAGAAAAAAAAAAGGGCAGACTCAAAGCGGCATCCGTTAGTTCAATATGCTCAAAAACAATTTGGGAGCATGACAGGCAAAGACCTGACACAAATTCTGAGCTAGTCCAGTCAATTGCCACCATATGTAATGCTGCAATATGCTGCAAAAAAATTGAGAGCAGAAAAAAATCCCTAATCTGAAAAGCATCAAATCCATGATGACAAGGACTTAGGCACCCATGCGTTAGGTGATTCACTGCCTAAATGATAGGTGCCTGGCACCCTGACTGGAATTCACAGCCTGGAGTTTGATCCCCCTGTTCCATACATAGTGCCTAGGGGAAGGTAGGTGCCCTGGAAATGGACCCCGAATGGTTAGCACAATGGCCAAGGAGCTGCCTAGAATTAGCTAATAGGAATCACTGAGAATAGGCATGTCAACAGTGAAGTCCCTAATGGAGTCTGAAACTTCCCCTTCTTGGAAGAACAAAACTCTGCTGAGATACAATCCTCCTTTGCACAGACTTCCAGCCACTGGGGACCTTATGCTCTAAATTCTTCCTGCAGATCATGATAGAAACCTCAGCTGAATTCAGCCAAAAGCAAATAGATTCTGCCTTTAATGCTTAAAAGGATGTGCAAAATATTTGCAATTGCAAAATGTTCAAACTTGGGGGGGAAACTGCAAAAAAATTGTTAAGTGGAGGTATCCACCCAAAAAGCAGGAGCACTTTCTTGTGCAGTTAATTTTCACTATCAGAACATGAATAGAAATTGCTATTAGTGTAATAGAAATATCAATGCTTGAGGGTATCATTTTGGGCAAGAAAAGTTTAAATATTTTATTAAATATGTTTCACCATTATACATAGTATCTGTGGATGCTAGTTTGGGGGGTTATGAAATCAATCCACTCTCCTTGCAAGACATTTTAATCAACATATCTACTGTACAAATGTATCTGCCCACTCATCTGTACTGTGATTTTTATTTGCAAGGTAACTCCTAATACATATACAGGAAGATACCATCATTTCTGGACTTCTTTAGGTTGATGATTATTTTATGATGCCCACCGTGTCTATCACTCTGCATTTCCAAAGCACCAGTCAGCATTGCATCTAATCTGTATGCACATGTATAAATGTACCAATTTACTGGACATGGGAATGTGCTTGAGAATTGCTACATTAATCAGTATGTGCTAGATTATACCTTTAGGCACAGCCCTAAGCAAAGGATGATGCCAGTCTTAACTGAGAGGCAGTGTATCAGTGAGTTCCAGTTTTCTTCCTGGTCCCTCCTTACTTGGATGGGTGTTAATATGCAGCTGTCCTTCTACTAGCAACAACTTGCAAGATTATGATACTCCCTATTCTCTGTCCACTCCATACCTAGTGACAAAGGTTTGGAGCTGTCCCTTATAGTTTCATAGTTGGTAGGGTCGGGAGGGACCCGAGAGATCAAGTCTGACCCCCTGCCATGGCAGGAAAGAGTATTGGGGTCAAATAACTCCGGCAAGATGTTCATCCACTCTCCTCTTAAAGACCCCCAGGGTAGGGGGTTCCACATGTTCAGATCTGTGTTCAAACTATCTCATTTGGGATTGTAACTTACTCTCATTCCTCTTTCTGGCCACTTAATTAAAACAGTAAGGTGATGTGAATTTGTTTATGCTACACAGCTAATAGAAACAGTAGTGCAACTTTCATTACATGACTTCCTTTTATTTTCATAATTTATGACCCTTTGATCTGATCATTGGTTCTTCCATTGAAAAAGGAATCAAAGTCCTGCCAAGGTCAAATGAAGTTTCTTTTAAAACTTCAGATCCCATACTAGAGAAGGAAAAATGCACACTATCCATCTATATTTGAGAACACTCAGCAGGTCACACCATTCCTACATCAAACTGTTATTTTTTTAGTACCAAAAAAAAAAAAAAAAGATTAAGCCTGAAGACTTAGTTATCGCCGATCCCCAAGTCACATCAGTCAGTAACATGGGATTTGAGGTGTCAAAATGACAGAGAACAGTTCAATTTGTTCTAACATTGCAGCCACACTCATGTACATATTAGACAGCCATAAAATCTCAAAGTGGCACCATTTGAAATGATGTGTGTTAAAAGGGGGCAATTAGTGGGCAAGATGAAATGAAGGTACAGCTTTAATTATTTCATATCTTGAAAAAAGGGAATGGCTGGAAAGTAATTTCTCTGTTAAGGAAAAGCAGGGCTTCTGAAAAAAAAAAAGAAAACTTTTTTAGAGCTAATTGCTTGGCTCTAATTAGAGAATGTAACCTTTGGAGGAATAGTGGCTGTTGAAACTCTGGTTTTATTTGCATATATTAATATGTACATGACAATTACACCCCCAGAGAAAGTACAGCCTGTGCCCCAAAAGCCTAGTTTTAAATTTAGAACTGAGAAAGAAATTCTAAACAACTTAAATACATTCCAGTATCTCTGTAGGGTTGGGATGCACGTTAGGAAAATTGTGTATTGGTGAAACACTGATCTCTCGTAGCATCGTCTTCCTAAACTTGGTGTGTGTATATGTATATGTACACATTTTATATACATTTAAATTTAAATCGGAGTTACAAATAGCAAATTATCCAATACGGTATATTCAATGCAATTTTGTGGATACATTTCTCATCATAAATGTTTGGTATATACTGAAATGTCTGCTACTTTCAGGAAGTCTAACCAGCAACTATCTACAATCCTTGCAGTGTGTGGTTAATTTACCGAGAGAGAAGCAGTTTATTATTTGAGCTATAAGTAGAAGAGATTAAATTCAATCATACCATATATGCCGTCATCTTTATATAATATCATTTAGGGAATGATTCCAAAACCAAGTGAATTCTGTGAGCATCTTCTGACAGCCTTTCCTGCAGCTGTGAGTGAATACAGAAAGATTCATAAGAGGTTAACCAACTCAGCAAGACTGTGGGAAAATGAGGCCCAGTGGCCTCATTCTTAACACAGCTCCTAAGAAATAAGGAAGAGGAAAAATCTGCAAACATCCCAAAGGACATTCTATCATCTGAGACATTTAAACATGGATTGCAAAAAAGCCGTGGAAAATATACTTCAGATAGCGGTCCCATGCTGGCTTAGAGGTGTGAGCTAGCTGACCTACCAGTGGGTTGTCCTCCCTTCTCCCCCTGCACCTTCTCTACTAACAACTGTGTGATCTACATTACCTTCCTGATCTCAAGTTTTGACATAATTTTATGTGCTTGTCAGAGCTTTAAACCATTAAGATAAAGCAAATGCTAGGTATAAATTAGGGAATTTCTGGGAATTTAGAGGAGTAAAAGACATGAAGCAACCTCTTCTCCCTTATTTATACCCTCTGGGTGTATCTATACAAGACGCTTAATAAGCAGTAGACTGGCTGCCCACATATCACAGTCTCACAGCAAAACCCCTGCTATTAGGCTAATGCGCAGTTGTATTTTTCTACTGAGCATTAACTGTAAGATAAAGAGTGTGTGGTTATGCTAATGTGCAGTATGGCAGCCTACTGTGCATTTATTTAGTACTTGATAATTGAAGTACTAGTACTAGAAGTAGGCACTGCACATTAATGAATGTGTAGATGTGCCCCCCGCAGAGAAAAGCATTATTGCTTTTCACTTTGCACCTATTTTTTTGGAACACAATGAATTGAAATTGTTCAAATTACACAGTTCCAAAAAACTTCAAAATAAAAATAAGTTTTAGGAAAGCAAAAGTTTCAAGAAACTCTTCATGAAATATTCATACGACTCAGGTTAGACAAACATTTGTTTGGAATGGTTTAGACAGGAATGATCCTGCCTTGAGCAGAGGGTTGGACTAGATGACCTCCTGAGGTCCCGTCCAGCCCTATTTTCTATGATTCTATGACACCAAGCCTTATTTCAAGTATACGCATATTACATATATACACATGAGTGTATGTGTACAGGCAGAGATGGTCAAAACATTATAATTTTGAAATATTAAAATTCAAACTATTTTAAGACATTTTGAAAAAAAAATCTGGAACAAAAATTTTGCTTTGTTTCCTTTTATACTTTCTTGTCAAGTTGGTGAGATGATGAGAGGCAGGTAAAAACTGATTTTACTTGTTGAAAAGCAAAGGCTTAGTTTAAAGATGTTCTGAATTCCCAATAAAAAAAGGCAGAAAAATATGATAGTTTAGCACTGAAGGAATTTGAAACAACAACAACACCAAGAGCTCCTATAGGTATTAAACACATTGTTGTATCCATTGAAGACATCAATTTGGATATAGCTCAAATTCAAATAAACTCAAATTGGGAAAAGAATCAGGCTAAATGAAACTTTATGAACATTTCACACTAGCCTTGTGCTACTTTTTAGTTTTGAAAACTATTAGGTTTTGTAGGTCAAAAACGTGATTCTAACCTAAGGACCTGTGGATGTTGAAGGTCTTGACATTAATGAGAACTAAAGTAATTCGATTTGCACTCAGAGGGAATTTGGACCTAGATATTGGATGTGATCTATCACTTGTTAAGTGCTTAATGACTAGATTTACTGGAGAGGAAAGGGAAAATGCATACTTTAACATTCACTTTATTTTCTAAATGGCCAGACTATTAGCAGCATGATGTTACCGTATTTTCCTGCATACAACATGCACTTCCCTCCACCCCCCCTCACTCCTCCTTCCCAAAACCAGCTCCTGGGAAACAATAGTACTAATAGTTTCTGCCAGTTAGGGACAAAAGTAAAAGAAAAATCTACATGCAGTTCACAAGGAGTAAAACAATGAGCAGACTGCTCAGTAGCCACAACTAACCAGTTACTTATGACAAGGAAAGATCTTTTTTTCCCTTCTTTCTGCCTTTCATAAAACAGGGTATATATTATACTTTGGAGGTGGGGTGTGAAAAAATATGGTATTTATATTGTAAGCAAATCAAGGCCATGGTTGGGTAATCACAAGAATAGCACTGGTAGGGATTTGAGTCAAGTGGGGATTTCTCTGAGATCCCCACTTCTTTTCTTTGTAGGAGCCACACATGGAATGTATAACAGTTCTGCTTCTGCAATGCAAGTAACACGTGTCTTGGTATGAAAACAAATGCTTATCTGTTTAGTCGTGTAAATGATGGCATGATGTAAGTCAGAATAAGATGCAGAGATGGCATTCATATCTTGTTACAACCAGTGATTACAGAGGAATTGTTTTGTAGTTCAACGGCACTATCGAGGCTTATTCTCTGTAACAAATGCCATCTTTTATTTTATTTTGTGATTATCCAACAGATCACTGAACCATGAAGTGCTGCTGCTCCCAGCCAACAGAAAGAAATACCAGGGCCATATGCCTTGCATGGAACTGCCACCATTCTGTTCTTAATTATCATTTTTCTATCTGCCACTCACAGCATGCAGGTCAGAATGGAGTTACCTGTGATACTTTTGATACTGTGACAGAAATGGTGGGAAACGAGATTTTTGAAATAATAGATGTAATGGCTAATCAGTATTCTTTTTCCCCAAGTCAGTATGAGAGATTGCTTTAAAATTCAATCAAATATTTAAGCCGCCATTTATGGGCATTAATGATACTTATAATGTATCAGCCTTGCACACATCATACTAATAGAATAACAACATATATTTCTAGAGACAAGCAAAAAGTAGCAAGACCAATTGCAAGTGTGGAGATGACTTGATGACCACCTCTGATCAGATGCAATATGGATTTTGAACTGTGCAACCATAGCAACTTTGGGGCTGCAACAGGGAGTGTGTTTTTAAAATATTTTATACTAATATATCACGTAGAACAATAGGCATTTGATTATGGCACAGATCTTTTCATTTTGCAGCATGTACAAAATCTAACCTGCAACAATCCTGTCGTTTTAAAAAAGGCTGTTCTGTACTTACCTAACATATTCCTACAGGAATTATTCATTTATGTATACTGCCTTGTTATCATGTCAAAAGGAATCAATAGAGCCAACCTACAGTGCCTTCCTTATTATATACAAGAGCACTCTTACCAGCCATACTTTTTTTTCCCTGTAGGACTCTGTGATAGGATAGAAAAACACTGGAATTATTTTATTAATGTTACAGTTTGATGTTGTGCCCATTGTAAAAAGCATCTGCATAAAGTAAGCAATTAAATAACCATATCTTGATTAACCAGATACATTTGGAACCAGATACAGATGGGTGAACGAGGTGCCTAGTCAAGACACAGATGGAATTTAGGGATCTCAGTCTCACAAAATCCATTCCAGAATAACCCTGCTCCACTGGCCACAAAACTCATACATTTTGGATAGGAAGGACTACTCAGACTATAGTTAAGTGCCTTGCTAACACCACAGCTCTGTTGCAAACCAGATAAAAGATGGAACAGACCTACTTTCATTTTGGGATAAATGTCTACTTAGGGTAGAGTATATGCAGGTGATATACCAAGATAGATATATCAGTGCAAATGGTAAATGCTTCCCATAGAGATGAGATCCAATAGTGACCAAAGGACACAAATATGCCATATAAAATTTTGCTGC